CATCTGGCTTGTTCAATTCATCTGACTTGTCGGATTCATCTGGCTTGTTCAATTCATCTGACTTGTCGGATTCATCTGGCTTATCAACTATACTAATCTTTTTCTTCTTTAATGGAGATACCTTTCCATGTTCTTTAGTTAGATCAGCATCTGACAATGCACAACTTGTAGCCACTGAATCAGATAATGCTCGTTTAAGGTTACGCTTTGGTTGTTCCTTTTCTTTATGTTCTTCTAATATTCCTTCAAATTCTTGAATTAATCCTTCACAATCAAGATTTTCTTCAGGTTCCCAAGTATTATCTGCATCAGTGTAACCATTCCACTTCAGAAAATATTCCACCTTGCCATTTCTCGTACGCTTATCTATAATTTTTTCAACAGAATATTCTACTACTTGTTTTTCAGCTGCAGAACTAGAATCTGAGTGTTTTTCATTTTCTTTTAATCTGGAATAAAAATACATTAATATGTTAGTAATAATACATAAAAATAGACTTATCAATATTTTATATATGTTTACTGCAGTAACACCAATAAGTGTTTGTTTTATTTTTTTTTATACATGTAACCTCTATAAACACATTATTTTATACAAGTGTTGTAATCATACATACATTTTTTCATTTTAAAATAAAAACAGTTAACAAAAAAAAAAACTTCAATACACAAGTGGAAAAATATTAACCACAGCAAACATTGCTAAATGAATACACATTTTTTTAAAAAAATATTCTTAATATTTTAAAATAAGAAAATTAGCTTATGGTACAACTTATATAATAGATTAAATATTATGCTTTTATTGATTACACCATTTTAATTATCAATATTTAAAATTTACATGAAAAGAAAGAATTAAAATTATGAATAATTTCCATTCTACAGAACTTCCTAACATTATGTAGTGTATAAAAAGATGGAATCACCACACTAACTTAATGGAGAAACATGAAAACAAATATGTACGTAAATGTGTAATAGGTAATCTCTGCACACTGTACACTAGCTGTTACTCACGTAGGATCCATCTTGAAGACTTGCGAATAAAGCTACTGGAAATCAGTGTGTAGCGTCAAGATATTTCAACCAAACCAGAGGGCGGAATCAGAGAAAAATGAATGCTGAATTTAATACCCGGATAACGATGACTGACGGCAATGCGGACAATGTGGTATTTAACTGTTAGTCGTCTGAAAATATCAGAAAAAATTCTAACGAAAAGCAACTGAAACTTACTAGTTACCTTAGACCTTACACGAATAAACAATAAACAACAACCACATTTTTCCCCTTTGAGGTGATGCGGTCAAGAGGGGTTGAGTTGCAGTAAGGCCCATTCTTTGGAACAAAATTATTTATTTTTTTTAATTTCCACACAATAACAATCGTGATAATATTGGCGCGCAATAACAATACATTTTTGACCTATGTTACTTGACTAAAATATCAATGAATATAAACTTATAATAAAGCACTCAAAAATAATTTTTAATCTTTTTAAAAAATATAAGAATTAAGCGACAAAAAATAAAACAACAGCCATCATGTATGTAAGAAATAACAGCAAACATACAATATTTGTACAATATTGTTTGATATAGATTTTTATTGTGCGTTGCTAGTGCGCATGTGCGGTGTGCTTCGGTGCTTCGTGAAACATGGGTAACTACTATATATTTCGTTTATGAGTATTGGGTATATTGTATAAACAGTTCGGAATTATTGTATTCGCAAGAATACGTGTTAGTAACGATATACTTTCGCATGTAAAGCTAAATAATTTTTTTTTTTTTCTATCCCAAATGAGAACGCACCAGGCGGCGGACGAAAACTGATCAAAACTCGCGCACATCCTCCCCCTTCCAACAGCTTCAGCCACCATTGACTAATCAGAAAACAATCAATAATTTTGTGGCGGGGCCACTACTAATAACGCTGTGCGACGCTGTTACATTTTTCTCTTTCGAATAGATGTGATTTTAAAGACAATTATGCCTTGAAAATCATTCTAAAGTAATTGTTCACAAGATTAACCATTTGAATGATAATAATAAAAAACTAATATTTCATTATGAAGTATGCATTATAATATGCAGGGTTGGAATGTGCTTTTAACAAGTGATTTTGTTAAATAAGTTTTTTACATAACGTTTAAAATGTATAAAAAAAAATATGTAAAATTATACCTATTATAATGTTTTCATAAAATATAGGTATATTTTGTTTGTAGATCACGGTATATAAAGTACAAACTTAATGTAAATACAGTAGAGCATCGATAGTCCGGACAAATTTAGACCGAGCATCGTTCGGATTACCGAAGGGTTTTCAAAATTACCTACTCAAATGACAAAGATTTTTATTTTTAATTCCATCACCTTTTTATTTATTACGCTTTAAATTACAAAAACAATAAATAACTTGACACAATGAATTACAAAAAAAAAAAAAAAATAAATAATGTTATAATAATAAAACTTAAGTTTAATTATCAGCAATTTTTTCTGAAGAATTTCGAACAAGCTACAAATGTACATTTTTTACGAACAAATAGACTTATGCCGGCTGGATTACCGCGTTCGCCGGATTATCGGGGGTCCGGACTATCGAGGCTCAGCTATGATATAAGAATGATGTTATTATTTTATAATGTAACAATACATTAGGTACAGTCTTACACTTGAAACAAAATAATTTTTATAAATTATCTAAAACATTACATAAAACAACATTTTAAACGAATAAAAATATTTGTTTTGTATTATTTAAGAAAATCGTATTTTTTAACCCTACATTTACATGTAAAAAATAAATCACAACTGTCCAACACACAAAACTCAATGATTTTAATCTATCATCATCTATACTGAATCTTAAATAGTTATTAATGTGTTTTAATGTAGAAAAGATAGATAACTTATTATTATTTCATTGGATAGATACAAAGCAGGTAATCAAAGTGGCTTCACATGGAGTCAGTTTCAAATAATATATTGATTATCTTAACCCTTAATATATACAAAATATAAATATAAAGTATATTATTATTTACTATTATATCCTATAAGTACACAATAAAAATTTAAGATTCATTTTAAAATATGCTATTACATAAACCATATATTCAAACTCTATAAAGTTATAATTTGGAGTTCACAACTGACTTCAATGGTTATTCGTTTATATAAACCACTATATTTTTTAAATTGTAGGCAAAAATAAAGTTAACACTAACTTGTTAATAAAAATATAAATTTACTGAAAAGTTCTAGGGGGGGGGGGGGGCTGAAGTCCACCAAAGCCTCTCTAGCTACACCTATGATACTAATATACTATGAATGCAATTAAAATTAAACATTACCTTCAGTCTTAGAATCTAAGAGTAGAAAAAGATCTTTCAGCGGAGGCAACACTAACATGCAAGCATGCTAAAATAAAAAGCAACTTCTTTACAGTAAGATAAAATATCTCATAACAAGTTTACGCAGAAGTGATGACATCTAAGTTGACATATCTACCTAAAACAAAAACATACTTATTTATTGATAAACTCCTAACAAATTATATTATTATTTTTTAAAATACCTTCATCTTTTATTCTTAGCCACTTAGATTTCCATTAGTTAATTTCAGTTTTAAGATTCATTTCTCCAAAATCAATAAAATTCATATCTTCAAATGTATAATATTTTTAATAATCATCATTGTTAGTTTTAACAATATTTTTGGGAGTAAATTAAGATAAAAATAAAAATGCTTGATATTTTTCATTATTTAATCTTTCTTTTATATAATTTAATATATTTTCCACCGGAGGAATACATACTGACACTGTAAAACTTTTCAACTGATGAAACAGTACAGTTAGATTGTTTGGTTTGACGACCAATTAAACAGGGCAATTTTTCTTCGACTACTAAGCTCAACATAATTTCTTTTGTTTCAATATAGAATTCACGGAAATTTTTAATAGAGTTTTTTATTTATTACATTAATTATAATTTCTTTAGTTTGATATACATCTTGCCATTCTGCTTGTAATAATTCACCTACTTATCTTAGATGTCACACACAATACACTTGATAGCAACTGCAATCCATTAATAAATTCACATGTATAAAGTGCCAACAATAATATTTTTGCTTTTGAAGAAACAATTTTTTTCTTGCCAATTTGAAATTAATGATAAAGATTCTACATTATCAGACAAAAGAAGATTTAAAAATGATGATAAAATTGTGGCGTTCAATTCATTTTATCTCACATAAACTTTTTAAAAGTGGTTTGCATTTAAAACTTTTAAGACAAAATTACTCTAAGACGACAAATTAAAAAAAGAAATTATACCTGTACTATCCTTATGGTATTACAGATTACTTGTACATTAGATGATTTCAATATTGATAGATTTAATGCATGGTTTGAACATGGACAATGTAAAGCATTTGTTACAGATTGGATTTTTTTAACAGCACCTCTTGCAATAAACACAATAACTGCACATCCATCAGTGCCTATTCCAACAGTTTTTTAAATTTAATGTCAAATTCTTTAACATATTCACCAAAACTTCTCCTTTGAGCTTTGGTTTAAGTGTCTCTGGATTCATCTCAGCTATTCAATTGATTAATCATCATAATTAATTGCAGTGTCATCATAAATATCATGACAGTTTATAAAACCCATGAAACATTCCTTTATAGTGCCTTTGTATCTTTTTCTGGATATCTAATTATTAAACTTGTCCGTGAAATATGGCTAATATATGTCGTTTCATCAAATAAAATACTATAATACTTGCTTTCATGAATTTCTTTAACAATTTCTACTGAAATGTAATTTTTGCAGCATTCAATGATATTATTCTGAATAACTGGACTAAGGTAGATAGATTTGAACAAGTAGACCAAGTGTTTTTCTAGATCAGAATTTCCACTTGAAATTCTTAATTTTAGGAGTTTTCTAGAATTACCTTTATTAGTTGTAGAATTTGTATCTGATATTATTGGTAATAAATTATTAACTTTCTGATAGAAATGTCCTGAATCATAGCGTCTTCTTAAAGGTATATTATGATGACCAAGAAAAATGATTGTTTCAATTATTGGTTTTAGTCTCTTTCTGTTTTCTTCAACTTGTTTCAGTATATCAGTATTAATAATATAATATTGATTTTTACTATGCACTTCAAAATCACCATCTTTTCCAAAGATTTTTGCATATTTATTTGTGGTTTTTTTACCAGTTTATTTATTGTGTTGCTCTATTTTTTCCACCATTTTACTAAATAATAGGTACACAATATTTACAGGAAACAACATTTTTTCGTAAAAATACACAAACCATTTGTATTTTTCAAAATGTGATCTATTCAAGAATCCACTTTCTTCTTTGTTTTTTTTTATGCGAGTCAAGTATGGGTAAATGACATCATCTTTAGGAATATTAAGTAGTTCCAATAATTTTAACTTAATGATATCAGAAATTTTTTTAAATTTATTTAAAAAAAAATAACCTATAGGTATCATTAATATCACTAGTAAATTCATTTAAATTACTTGTAGTAAGCGGTAAATTAATCTTATAGTTATTTAATTTTAAAATTTGTTTTTTATCTAAAGAATCTAATAATACTTCATTCAAACAATTTGGTAATTTATTTGTTATATTGCAGTCAATCGTAGTAGAAACATTTGATCGTTTTATCACCCACGAAAAAAGCGAGTTTTGATTAGTAGAAGTTCATTTACTCATAGTAATATTTTTACTCGTACAACACGGAATTTCATAAAAATAAATAATATTAAACACTTAACGACTAAAATATTAAATGAAGAGAATACATTTAAAAATCATAGGTAATAAAACTTTTACGAATGAAAATATGAAATGCGTAATATCACAGATCGAACGCGAATTGAACTATGATATTGTACTATACGTCTATACCTATTTGAACAATTTACATTGACAAACAATCAAAACGCATTAATTATATTATGGAATAACCCGAACACATTGACAGTAGACACAACATGTCTATGCCCGCACAGTGTTAGCGTAGGTACTTTGAATCTATTGTTATGACTTTATGAGATACGATCAACAAAAATATTTTATTTTTAACATTGAATTATATTATTGTAATAGACGTAATATTGTATGAACCAATATTGAATAAACTACAATTTAAGTTTATTGTAACAATTAACCAACAATACATCAGATTTTAGTGATAAAATTATCGAATGTCGATATTTTTATTAATATGAAAGATAGACTTGCAGATCTTACTTAAAAAAATATGACTGATTAAAATTTTAAATGTAATACCTATTTTCTTAATATAATTTATAATATATATAAGCAACTTGTTAATGAGAGGGGAGCGATCGCCTCCTTAAATACGCCATAGTAATACATCCATAATAGTGGTCAGTGACCTATTCAATAATGTTATACACTCGACACTTACTATATGGTAGAGCAAGTTCCCAATTTTAATTTTCGTAATTTTCGTATCACAATGTTTCACATTAGTATATAACTACCTATAACAAATGCATAAAATATTATAGAATATTATAAGTTATAACTGACACAAAATAAAATGACAAATGTTGACTATAGTAAGCAATTATAGACATAATGAAATTAAACTTAATTTTGGTACTCTTAATTATTATATATTTATTAATTTTAAGTAGGTACAAATCATTCAGCACAATAAAAGAAAAAACAATAATAAATTATAATCGTACGAGTTTGGACTTGGTAGCTTATGTAGGTATACAATTATGTGTGACAGTACAATTCACGATGTAGATAAAATATCATGGAAAATTTGTAGTGATCGGTACTAATACAGGATAAGATTAAATATTTTATTTTACGAACACAACCTATCCGCGTACAAACAATGCTTTTAGGATGTTTACATTGTACTGATTACATATGTGAAAATGTAAATTCTTGAAGTTGCAGTAAATATTATTATTAAGAAATAATAGAAAAGTCTGTTTTTATTCAATAAATGATAATATTAAATTATTATTTATTAGCATAAACTGTAAGGTGTAAGACATACACTTAATAATAATGAGTAGAACTAGGACTTTCATGCATTCGCATATTTTTTCTGGTTTACTTTTTCGTATGCAGAGTAAGTACACAATACATTTCACAACGTTTGTGACCAAAATCTCAAAGTTTTTAGTGTATGTTTTTTCATATTTTGACATTTTAGGGTTTAAAAGACATATTTTTTTATTATAAGAGCATATTTTTAGTTAGTAGTGCATATTTTAATGATTTTTCGAAAATCATGTTTTTCAGTGAATATTTTTCATGGTTAAGGACACAAATTATTACATTTAACTGTTTCTATATTCTCATAAGACGAAAGAGACTTATTTTATCATAGTTGCGAATGTGTAGATTAGATTACAATAAAGTGATATCAAATTCAGTTAAAACTTAGAGAGATAATATAAAATTATTAAAATTAAATATTTAAAGAAAAAATATAATTTTTAGAGCTATAAATTTTAGCGTATTAATTTTTTTGAGGTCATATTAAACTGCATATATTAAATTTTTAATGCATAAGTGCATATTTTTAAATGCATATTTGATGATTTTATTAGTGCATGAAAGTCTTTGCTCTACTAATGACAATGAACAATAAATAATAATATAGGTATTTAAGATAACATTTTTTTGTTTTTGATAACAACAAAATGATAACAGCGGTGGTGTCTAATCGACCGGGTATAGACCACAGCTGATGTCTATATTATAATTTATAATACATATATACATCTGTGGTATAGACAAACTCATTAAAATTGTGTTGTTAATAAATGATAACACGTTGCCGATGATAACAAAAATAACAGCTTCTCTTTTAGGTATACGACTTCTATGTTTCTTTTCTAACGTATCATTAATGTAATATTCAATATTAATCTGTTCAATTCCAGATTTTTTTATTTGCTTAATGGTAATTTTAACAACTGTATTAATGCATCATTTACTTAAAATGTTACTAAAAGCGTATTGTTATTTTCTAAGTTTTTGTAACTATTAATTAAATTACTCAAGTTATATTATTATTTTTCCATTATTGCTACGTGAAAGATTCCACATCCAAGCACTTAACTTTAATAAATTAAGTTGAAAATATTTGAATAATATCGTAAGTAAGTTTACCCAATTTTATAAAGGAGTAATTGATTTCACCAATTTTTAATTGTTTTTATTTTAAATATTTATATAACTACCATGACAAAATATTTAATTTATGCTACTTGTTTCCGTTAAATAATTTTCTCTAATTTATTGTTAAAATAACAGCAATATATTTACTGTTAATATTTTAATATTCTGCTATTTTAATAATTAGGTATGTGTATTATATATATATATATGTATTAATGCATTTTGTATGTTTATTATTTTGCTGTAGATAATTGAAATGTTAAGATACAGAGGAAAAAAATTAGCACTTAATAATATTGTGAAAGAATTAGATTCATTCCCTAAGGTTCAAGAAGAAATTTATGAACCATCAACTTATAGTAATGTTATACGTAAGATTTTTATAAAAAAAAAAATAAATAATTAATTTGTTTAAATAGTTGGGTAATAAAAACAAAATATTTTTTAATCTTCATTATCAGAAAATGTAGTGCACTAATTTAATATATTTGTATTTAAAGTTAAGATGTAAGTTTGTAATTTATATCATACATAATATTAAAAATTAATATAAGTATTTCTGACATTTGACAAATTTATTTATTCAATATTACCTATATGTTTTTAAGTTTTTTTTTTTTTTTTTAATATAAATTAAACTTAACTATAATTATTAATCTTTTTGAAAACTAATTGTATAATTATACAATTTTCAGTGACAATTTTAATTTCTATATTTGGATTATGGTTATTGATTTCTGAAATACAATATTTTTTCCAAGAACAATATATATACAGATTTGTACCAGACACAGATTATGAATCTAAACTTCCAATAAACATTGATATTACAGTTGCATCAACTTGTGACAGTAAGTTTTTGTTGTTTTTAAAGTTCAATATATTTTTGATTAATGTTACATCATTTTTTTTTTTTTTAGGTATAGGTGCTGATATTGTTGATACAACAGGACAAAATATGATGTTATTTGGAGAATTAAAAACTGATGATACTTGGTGGGAAATGACAAAAGAACAGCAACAGCATTTTGATAAAATGCGTGAATTTAATGCATATTTAAGAGAAGAATATCATTCAATGAAAGACATATTATGGATGTCTAATGATTATAATACATTAAAAAATAAATTTTCTATTAGGTATGTTAAAAATATATTAATCCTGTAAAATCAATATATTATTTAATGCTGAATTGTATAAACAATCACTAAAAGTTGAATCAATCAATAGTGGCTAATTGTCCCTTTAAAATGATTTAGTAGCCTTCATTAAATCATTAAATTGATACATTTTTTATGTAACTTGCCACTGTGATTAATCTACATTTTTATAACAGGAAAACAATTTTAATAGTCACTAAATTTTGTTGAAAATTTTAAAAAAATAATCCTATGCATAATATATTATTGTGTTTAAACTGTTTTTAAATTGTGAATTATTTTTCAAATTGCATAATATTGTATAATATTCAGTGATACATTGCTAAAACTATTCATAGGTGTACTTTTTTCATGCAAAAAGTAACAATGGTAAAAACTTTATCAAGTAAAAAAAAAAAATTCCCTTCCCTCAAAATATCTATTTTTTTGTAGAATTTATTATAATTATTTAATAAAAATACTCAAAATTTGTGAAAACAGTCTTTTATAAATAATTTATTGAAGTAATTTTTATAACCAAATTTTTAGTGACAAAATATTTTATTATTATTTGTTATTTTAAATTCTAAGATGGTATTTAGTAGTCGTCAAATGATGAATCAAATAATATTTTGAGACCAATAGCCACTTTATACTGTTTATAGACATATTACATTTTATGTATTTTTATTATTTTTATTTAAATTTCTTGAAATAGAAAGTGTCATCAATGTAATGCTCCTTTCTTATCTCGTTTTTTAAATTTTTTTTATTGATTTTTAATATTTTTGATTGAAAAAATATTTTAATAAATATTCATAAAAAGCCTATGAGATGCCCTAAATAATAATCTCACTTTTAAACTTCAAAAGAGGTCAATTCACTCTAATTTTCAATTTAAAGGAGTTAACCGTGATCTTCTGAACGTAATATTTGCTATGTTACACATTTGTAATACGGAGATAACATATGCGGATACGACGTCCTCTTAAGTACTTTTATCGAATAATAACGGCTGCAAAAAAATAATAGTAAATTGACATACCTACCATTAAACTTAAAGTTAAGAACATTATTGGATTTTATGCATTCATTTTGTTTTATGATATTTCAATTATTATGCACACTATGAAAATATAAGTTTAACAAAAAGTAATACAATTCAAAAATGCCCAAATCTTGCTTAATAATTGAAATAGGTATTGTAAAAAACACCACCATACAAACACAGATTCAAAATTGATTCACTATATAACTATAAAGCTAGTTTATTGTAAATAAATGTGTTATTTTGTACCTGGGCCATACAAAGAAAACCAATATTACGCTTACATTATTTTAAATAAAATTATTATTTTATTAAAAAAAACTAAAAATAATTTAGTATGTAAAGATGTTGAAATTTAATAGAACACTGCATATGATTAAAGAATTTATTTATAATTTACAAAATACAATTTTTTTAAAATTATTATTTATTCTGCGTTATATGTCTATGTGTTTAGTGTATAAGGAAATTAATTTTTTTTTTTTTTTAATTTTCCAGAACAGAAAAACCAAATACTTTACCTGATGCCTGTCGCATACATGGGTCATTAATTCTCAATAAAGTTATAGGTAATTTTCATATAACTCCTGGAAAATCTCTAATAGTTCCAGGTGGCCATGTGCACCTCACTGGGCCATTTTTTGGATCAGAGGCTACTAATTTTTCTCATCGAATAAATCAATTTTCATTTGGTATTCCGACTAAAGGGATAATATATCCATTAGAAGGAGAACTGTATGAAACAAATGAAAGTAAAAAAAACTATTTTAAATTGACATAATTTTTGTATAATTTCTTAACATTAATTCATAAATAATTGTATCTGATATAGATGCTGTTTCCTATAAATATTTCATAGATGTGGTAGCTACAGATGTTAAATCATATTCAAATGAAATAAAAACATATCAGTATTCAGCAAAAGACATTCAAAGAATAATCAATCATAATATTGGTTAGTATAATAATTAGGTTATTTTATGTTTATAAATGGTTTTTTTCTACATTTAATTTAGAGCTTCGCGTTATATTATTATTCGTCTATTTTATAATTAATTTTTATTTGTGTAATCTTGAGTAAACATATTTAAGTATTATATTAAAAAAATTATTTAAGCTTAGCTTTAAAATGTGTTTACATTTTTTAGTGTAAGCTATTTTCAACCTAAGGTAATCAAATAATTAGTCACATAAATTTTTAATTTCCTGAATACTGTATATAATACTAAATTTATTATTTGCTATCTATATAATTTTAAATGTTTTATGTTAAGATAAAAATAATAAGAATAAATTTACAATTTATACATATTTAAAAACATAATATTTTTGAAGTATTTGTATGCATGTTTCATACACATTATACAACAGTCCTCTTTGATATTCTTTCCATATTTTTGAAATTTTGTTCTTGTACCATTTATTGTACAAAAATCTGATGTTAATAATTATTTTTGGGGCTTTAATAAAATGTAAAATTATTTGTTATTATAAATGGTTAAATCATTGAAATAAAAATAATTTGACCAAGTCAAATTATGATTAAAAATATTCAAGCCCGGATCAAGAGCTTCAGGAGCCAATACATGGTTGTGGGCCCCTGTCAATAAAAACAATTCTTTAAAATTATAAAATTATACAATAAAACAAATTTAAACATTTTTATTTAAGTATGATAGCGATCAATGAGGATAAAAATATTAAAAAAATATTATATTTTTATTAAAATATATATTTACACATAAAATTAAGTTTTGTTTATGTAAACAGGTTTAGTCGGTAGGTATCTGAATTATGAGTATCCATGACCGAGACAGTCACATAAACAAAATTTTCCAATTCTATTTTTAAATACAGTAATATCAAAATATATGCCTATTTCCAACAAACACAAACCTGGCTGTGACGCTATGTTTCCCCACTTACCATACTGTTGGTGGTAAACACGGTCGACAGGCCCATCGACTGTTAGCTTAAACAAGGAAAAAATAAAAATATTTTTGTAGGTACTATAAAAAGTACAAATTATCACTTAATGTAATTTTAAACCTAGAAAACTATGGGCCCTTAAAACACGTGGGCCCCGGGGACTTGACCTCTCCTGCCCTTAATCCGGGCTTGAAAATATTGCTAGCCATAGCAGTCATTAATATTATTGTTTAATTATATAATGGTAAATTCCTTTATATTTTATATCGCTCTAATTTATTGATACATCCACATCCCTGTAACTAATTTAAAATTTAAATTTTAGGAAGTCATGGTATGCCTGGTATATATTTTCAATATGATATAAATGCTCTCAAATTTATCATCACAGAAAATAAAATTACCTTGTTTCATTTAATTATTGAAATAGCATCAACTATTGGGGGCTTATTTTTATTATTTAGTAAGTATATTAACATTTTTTGTCATAAACTTATAACTTACTTATGATAACTTTTTTTTCAGATTTTATGAAAATTCTATTAGATAAGTTCACTAAAAAAATATATTCCTATTTTTGCAACTGATAACATTGCAAAAGAGAAAAGTCTTAAGATTATAAATGACAATCTGTTATAACATAATGAAACTATTAAATTAATTTTGAAGTTATTATTATTGTTTTATTTTATCAAAGATATAAAAATTTATTGAGTGCAGTTATTACCAACTTAAGATAGACTTTTGAGCTGTGAGATATTCACTCTTTATCGCACGTATTGGTGAGCAGAAAACTTATTGTATTAAAACAAATTTATTGCAAATAAAATACATTAAATCAATGATATATTAGTACTAATAATAAAATGTGATATATATATTATTAAAATATAAAATTTCAAATAATTCTTTAATGTTTCTTATAAATTTAAATAAAACTAATTGAAAATTGACAAAACTGAACACCAAAATGTGTTAAATACTTAGATAACAATTTTAAATTTAAATACCTCATGGAAACTCGATTTTGTTTTTCTTAAAAAAGTGTAAAAGTGTGTATTTTCTTTGAAGTATCTAGGTTATATAACTTTAGTAATTTAAATGGTTTTTATTTTTGATTGGGTTTTTTTATGTTGACCTTTTTTATTTTTCTTCATATCACGAGTCTTTATGTAGTTTAAGTATCTTCTAAAATGCATTTGTATTTTTCGAGCTGCTATCTTACGCTGTATTTCATGTAATTTTGAGTGCCAAACTCTATCATTTTCCTCTTCCTTTTCAAGTACTACATTATTGTAAAACGGCATTTGGTATGAAATAGATTCCTAAAAATAAAAAATAAAAATACTAATTCCAATCCAATCTATAATAATTTTAGTTAATTTTATTCCAGCACACTTTTGATGGCAATATTAAACCATAGTAACCGAATGTAAACCATGCATATTGCATAATACATATAATGAACTATAGTTAATGCGTAGATATAATATTTAATAATGGATAAATTACATTAAAATGTTTACACTAAATAGAAATTTTGTCATGCTTATTTGACCAGTCACTATTAATTAAAGTCAAATGTCAACGCTTAATAGGTATTAGGTAATAGGTTATCTTATATTCCAGCGGTTCTCAAACTTTTTTGTTCGCGGAGCCCATATATTCCTAAAAAAAATTACGGAGCCCCAAAGATCAGAAATGTCTATATGAGACAACAAAAATTCATAAATAAATTATGTAATTACAATTAACAATTGTAAATGATTTGCTTTTTATTTTTATTTTCTGTAAAATACGAATATATACGATCCATTTGAATTTTTATTCACAAAAAAAATTGTTAACAATAAAAACAATTGATGGTAAAATAGGAAACACGTAATACGAAATACACACCGAAATAACAATATTTGCGTCAGCGGCCGATGAATAACGAGTAATGACTGAAGAATCAAGAAATTATTAGAACTTCGTAGAATGTAGATTGTACTATTGTAGATAAGTAATCTAAATAATTATCGTACAACATGTCAAATGAACAAAAAACCCGACTTTTATCTAATCTCATTTTGACAATGACACAAAATATGACATATGTGGATTTATAAATATTTTAAAGTTTTAAACGTTTAAAATAATTCATATTGGTACGGTTTAAATAATATTGATTATAAAAATAAAAATTTAACTAAGAAATATAATAATAATTTAATAATTTAAATTTAATAAATACAAATATTCTCAGGGAGCCACGGAGCCCCTAGACTACTCTCGCGGAGCCCTAGGGCTCCGCGGAGCACAGTTTGAGAACCGCTGTTATATTCTATTTAACAATCGATATCAGTGTTAATGTGGAGTCCTAAATCAGCAGTAACTGAACATTTTTTTTTCATTTCTTTATTATGTATTTTTAGAATGTTTTAATATTAATCTAATAATGTCTTGATAGTGTTTGCTATAGGTAACATTATAGGGATAGCCAGGTTCAACATTATTACAAGTTACAACTTGATATTACATTCTAATGTTTTTACTTAGATTCAGGTAAATAAATATATCATAATAACATTCGTATAGTTTGTGCCCATCGGCTGTCATCTATAAAGGTAATAGTTTTAATTCATGAGTACTACATAATTCATGTTGAAGAACTTTATTTTACTTACTTGCAATTGGAAAATAGTATCTTCAATTTTTTTTATTTTTGAATGAAATCCATTTACATTATTGTGTTTTTCCATCATCTCAGAATCGTACGTTTGTACTATTAGAGCTTTTCTGATTTTTAAATCGTTCCTAACATATAACAATTAATTTTATTCAATTTAAATGCTGAGCTATAAATAATTTATAACATAATATACTATTTAGGTATATAGTATAGGTCTTTATAATATGATATAGGCTTATATCATGTTGCTCTTATTACTGCCTACCTGATAAAACACAACTCAACAATAATGATGAAAGACGTTCAAAAATGTAAATAAACAATATTTTAATTAAAAGGCTTAAAAATTGATATTTCCTGTACATGTAACCAATAGCCGTAAGTATTTAAATTAACATAGAGCTTTGTGCGTGATCAATTTGTTAAGCCCAAGTCAGTCCAAACATTTTATTACATACATTTAACCCACCTAACTTGGTCCAACATAATTTATAACTTTACTTTTACCTAAAATTTGATACTTTAAAATCGTTAATTGTGTAAATTGTGTAATTAAAACAGATTTTTTTTTTAACAAAAAAAAAACGCTTCAACAACAAAGGTTATTAGCGTATAAATTACATTGTACATTTTTACATTTTTTTTTTCACTGAAATATTATTGTGTAAATTAAATTAAATTAAATAGTTCGGAAATTTTTAGGATTTGTTTTAAATTAAAATTTATTGTTTTTATTTAAAATATGAGTATGAACTAAAAAATCCGACTAAGTCCGTACAACTTACGTTATGCATACCACATTGGGTCCGAGTTACAGTCACAAAGACAAATTTCAGTTATAACAATATTGAAGGCAAAATAACCGTCTTAATTACGGTCCGCATTCAATTTTTGATTATCCCATAAGTGTTTATTCAAATTTCAGTTAGTCATCGTTATATCTTTTAGTTTATGGCATGACGTCGTTGTATTAATTTTAATTTAAAAATGTCTCAAATTTCAAAAATATTAGGTAAAAAGAGAACATTTTACTTTTATTAAATAATTTTAAATGTAGATAGTATTATCCTCTAAAAACAAATTATCATAAAGAACTGTTATAACTGACCATAAAGCACAAAAATAAGAACTCGAGAACTAGAAAATGGTTGCACTACGTTTTTTGATTGATTTTTTTCCCTCCGGATAAAATGGGAAATATGTTTGTAGAATAAATAACTGAACAAACCATAGATTCAGAAGTTATTGAATATAGTGACTAATTGGTCAATAATAATAGACAATAATGTTACTTTAACCACTTCATTCTGTACAGTTTTGAACAATAATGTTACTTTTACAACTACATTCTGGACAAGTTGAACAGTAATCTTTGGTGAACGACTATAATGGAGTGAAGCTTTCAATTCAAAGCTGAGAACCGATTGTCACACCCAAACATATTCAAATTTTTAAAGCCTGTCAAAAAAATATTGAAATTGATCCATACTTAAAAATCAATTAAATAGATTTAAAAACTAATAATAGACCACGTAGAGCTCTAATAGGTACCTATAATTACCTGATTTGCATACGAATATTTTTGTTAATCTCGTTATTTTTTGCATTTGATTCAATTTTTGATAATAAACTTTTTGCAGTTAATTGTAAATTCACAACTGTATGTTCGTGTTCTTTCATTGCCGCAACAATAATTGCTTCTGATTTCATTCTAAAAAAAAAATTATATCTATGGATGCTTAGGTATATCATTAAAGTACATGCATATCAGACATTTTTGGCTAATCAGTAAAGTGTTGGTAGCTAACCTTAATTACAAATATCAATTTATTATAATTTATAAGGAACCTACTAGATAAATTTATGTTATTATAATGAAATGTACAAACATTTTTTTTTTCATGACAAACTGTAATTGTCGGTCTACAGCGTTGAAGTAATGTTCAATTTGATTTTTTCTACTGATCTTCGTCTGAACGTCATGTTTAATTTGTTCATACTTTTGCTGTTCTTTATTCAACGTATTGCGTTTATAATTAGCGACGTTACAGAAATCGTCTTTTGAATTTCGTTTAAAAATTGCTTTGCTCTTCGCTTCTAATTCTTCAATTATTCCAGTAACAAATTGGACGCTCAAACTTATGTTGTGTTTCAAAGTTGAAGACATCTTTAAAGCAAATAAAAATTAATTCGTTGTATAATAACATAATATATTCACGTCTAAATATTATCACTAAAGCTTGCAATTGCATGTGCTAAAAAATAATAAAATAGATGTGGATATGCGATATGCATTAAAAATGTTAAATAATCAGTTAAATATACAATCATTTTTTTTTTTTTTTAATAAAATTTACATTTATAAGGAAATAAAGTTTAAAATACATTATTATTTAATAATGAATTGTATATATTATTTTTATAGTTATATACATAAATATTATTGATTAATAGATATGTTTAACATTTTTTTTCTTAAACTTTAAATATTAATGCTATCTAAATATATTCACAGTAAATAACTATTGATAAACATAAGATGGGATTTAATCGATTGTCAGAAAAGCACATTAACACTATGAGCGTATTATGAACTGTAACGACTAGAAAATTATACTAGTAATGTTTAAATCTTCTATTTTTGATAGAAAAAACTATTAGTTCAACAGAAGAAAAATTTGAACGATTGAAAAATGTATTGCATGTCAAATAAAAATATTTACGAGATTATTATATTTTTAGTAACTACACAAGTTAATGAATTCTTAATGGTAAAATGCCGTTGACCTGCCAAATACAAAATTAATTACCTATAAAAAAGATTCAAATTTAAAAAATATTATGAAAAAAAATAATCGTAGTAAAAAAAAACAGTCAAATCAAAATTTAGTTATACGAGTAATTTATTATTACACGTGAAGTGCTTTTTTGGCTTTGGTCATATTTATTTTTTTAATTTTTGTCTGATATTGATATAGATTTCACTTCATTAGGCGGATTTACTAATTTAGATTTAAATTTTATTTCCAGGACATGTTGCAAATTAAATGTGTAAATAATTAGAGATAGTTTCAATCTAATGCCTCCAAACATTTTTTTATATTTTATAAATAAATATTTTCCATCTGCCATAATAAATATGCTAAAATGTCTTGTATCTTCGTGTGTAGGACACGTCAATAAAAGTGATTTAGGTACTTACTTGACGTAGAAAAATTCGCAAGAAATGTATAGTCTAGATTTTTGTGAATATTTTAAAATATTTACACTGAAAATATCTAGTCATTATAATATTTTAGCGGGAAACGTCTTATCTCGTCAGTCACATTTGAGTTTATTTACGGTTGTAAATATTTTGACATGAAATTTTACATTGTTCTTTCAGACCAGTTGTGTGTATTAGTCCTTGTCGTATTAATATTTTTTTGTGACAGGCAATTACTTATTCCCCATAAATATATAATATTTCTAATTATGACCATAGATCGATAGATCCAAGAAGGCTTTTTAAAATTTTTATTTATTTTTATTAACGAAATATTTAATAAAAATCATTTAAATTTGGTAAAATATGTTTAAATATATGATGAAAATCTGAATTGTATAATATGTACCTACCAATTATTATAAAACGAATTTGTATCAAATCAGATTTCGAATACGCACAACTTCATAACAAATATGTAAATGCATGTGAAGTTGCAGACCTTGAATTTATCAGGCATTGAAGTACCTACAATTGTACAGATCTATTTTTATTTCATTCATGAATTCACGTCATGTCTTGGGTAAAAATTATGTTGCTGTAAAAATGTTGTGAAAACAAAAATATGAAAAATACAATATTAATATATTATAATTTATAATATACCTATGTATAGTACAATTTTATTTTTATTTTACGTTAACAAAGTACACAGTTATACTTGATAAATAAAAATAAAGTAGAAAATGAAAAATAATAATAATTAAAAATATTGTAATAAACAAAATAAAGAATTATATTTTTATATCAGTTGATATTGAAAGTTATACGAAATTCCATTCAGGTAATCGTTAATTGATCGATTTTCATAATCATCACATAAGTCAAATTGTAGACTCTTTGTACTCGTATTTTTTGTCGGAGGTTTGATGTCAGCAATAAACTGTTCAACTTTAAGGCGGTTTAAGCTTCCTTTCTTTTTCAGTGAATCGATAATAATCCAGATAGAAGGATGACGATAACGTCGATAACTCAACATTGAACTAAATGTTAACTAGTAATATTATGTACACTGAACTTTATTTTCATAGGTATATTATGGTATTATACTATTATATTATTTCTAGTTATGTCACTTTAATCTAATCCTACCAACGACCGAACGAAAACAAGAACTGCGAGCCACATCGGCGACTATGGTGATATATTACTACCTGCAAAATTTTTATTGCGACATTTTTGCTGCGATATTTTTACTACGATATTTTACCGTGACGTTTTGACGCGACACTAATATTCATACATGATGAATAATAATACTAAATAAAGTTAAGAAATAGTAGATTTTAGGTACCTATATAAATATTATTAGTATATTTTAATACATATTATGGTTTTACTTAAAATGTTGTTTTTACTGTATATAATTCGTTAAATTTAAGTCTTATATTTTCACTTTCGATGTGACAATGCTACAAATGTATAGGTATTAAATTTATGACTTATTATTGTAAAACTAATAGTACCTATATTAGTATTTGCATTCATCGTTTCACTCTGAAACTTAAATTAAATTTCGTATATTTATTAATATAATACGTCAATCAAATTTTAAATGTATTTATTACATTAATATCTATTATTATGAAATGGCTAATTAACCTAACATAAACAATAATTTATAAATTAAATATAAAATATAAATTACACCAATAAGATTCCTATTTATTAATAGGTACGTTTTGAACTCATAATATAGGTAATATATTTATATTAATTATTATTAATATTATTGTAATCTTAAAATTAATATTATTTTAATAGTAAATAATATGTTAAAATAAAATAATATAACAGCATTACAATTTGTTCCAGGTGAAGAACATATTACCAACAGGTGGAACTTTTTTGAAAAAACTTTTAAGGCACGTTTAAGCAAAAGTTATGACTGATGAAATAGTTGCAGAGTTTAATTGATTTGGGCGATAAAAATATTTAGTGTTGTAACAACTGAAATAATTGATTTGATAAAAAGTAATTTATTAATACTATTATAATTTATAAATGATGGTTAATAAAAAGTTTAGATTGAAAAGCCGACTATATTTTTGTAGGAATTTTAAAAATGCATTTTAAATTAAATTAATAAATCAAAATTTAATTTTGTGAATGAGTTAGTATTAATTATTATTTGTTACATAAACATTTGGTATTTTTTTAATATTCATATTTTGTAATACGAGTATCATTTACTTTTCAGTTTTTCACCAAAATATATAGGTACATTATACACAGATTCATACTTGTATTAATTAGCTAGTATAAATATTATTGAAATCGAAAATGCTGTTAAAATAAAACATAAAATCAATGAGATAAAGGTATATAGATTATTTTTGGAACATGATTAGTAAAAACTAAAAGTTAAAGAACGTAAAAATAAATAAATAATTTCATCAACAAATGATAATAATAACACTAAATAATATGTATTTTTAAATTGATTAAACATAACATTATTTTATTTTAATATTTTAATACTTATTTACTTCATAAATATAAAATAAAGTTTTTATTTATATTTCATTTATGTTATTTTTACTATTTTGAAACTTGTATATTAGATTATTATATAGTATAAGTATTAATTTATATGTGCATTTCTAATGATTAACTTGTTTTCAAAACTAATTATATTATGATTATTTTGTCATGTTATTTGAAAATAATAATAATAAACTTAGATAATAACATTAACTCATTAACATATTTTAATATATTATGTATTATTAATGATTGCCTAACTTAACATTTCAGCATTAAAATTACCTATGTACAACTATTTTTTTATAATTTAAATCTTATTATATAGGTACATTTATTTTTTTATTGATTTTTGATATATTATATTGTTTTTAATAATAATACTGTTATTTTATTTTGAAATTTATTTATACTACACTGTATAAAATATGTATTGATATATGTATATATGTGTGTTAGTTACTTTTCTAAAACAGATTAATGAAAGTACTATTTTACAGAAAACTTGCAGTAGGTAGGTATATACTTTGATGATTTAATAGTGTATTTCTTAGATGTCTAATAAATATCTGTATGAATACCGATGGTGCATAGTTCATAAATATTTTCTATTTTATATTACATCTCAAGGAAGACAGTTTGATGTTATATTTATATTCTATTAATATATTTAGCTTATTATTGAATAGATAATAAAATATAAATATGTAAAATATATAAATTCTAAAAAGTGTATTCATAACAATTGCAAAAAAATATAGAATATTATGTGGACACTTAACATCACACAATAGAAAATAGTTTTGAATGTTTTGATTTCACTAAAGAATATTTGTGATAAAAAATATACCTACGGGTATAATGTAATAATATCTAACTTATTGTTTATACATATATACATATATATTTATATTTTATTATTGATAATATTATTTAAGTATAGAGTAAACATTGCAATAAATTATTAATTATATTATAATTAGTAACTAAGTAATTATTAATTAATAATATAAGTATCAACTTACATTAGACAAACTGTTTGCGTTGGTAATAAAATTAAATAAACACGAAAGAATCGTATTATTCGTTTCTTTGAAGTATGTTATGTTATTTTTGTCCATTTTACAATGCAAATAGTGACGATAGTATTGTAGCCTTATCGGTATTCGGTATAAATGTTGAATTGTCTTAGGCGATTTGCATTTTTAGATTTTCAGATCAAACATCGAATACGGGTACCTACCACTCTCTGACAATTATCTATTCACTGTAATTTAATACATACGTTACCTATCAACGATACATAGGTACACAAACAGAAACACGTTATCGATTTAACGTAACAAACAATAACCAAGAGCAACTGTGACTGTTTTTGTTAACTGAAGTTTACATTTGCTTAGCAGTTAGGTACCTTACCATTTTAAAATACACATCTAAACGTCGGACACTGACAAGTCATGGCGTAACACCGGCGGAAGGTTTTGCGAGGCCCTGACACTTTTTCAGGGGTCCTGGGAATTTTTTTTCAGAAAATTTTTTTTTGGAACGCTCTATCCTTTATATAATAATTTTTCTATTTCAAAAAACTTTTGTAAAAACATTTTATTTTACGCATAAAATTAAAAAAATATCAAACATATATTAAAATTTGTGTTTACACTAAATAATGTAAAAGTAAAGTAGGTAAATCAAATGATGTAATATGTCTATAATATTATTAATTATTATACTAATAAAATATACATTAACAATACAATTGTGTATTCGGAAAAAATCAAATCAACCTATCTACTGTAATATTAATAATAATATTTATACAATTATACACATAACTTTAATAACTTAATAAAAAAACACTTTTTAAAATATACTTTAATATAAGTTGACAGACGGTTTCCGCCCGGAATCGTTATTCGTATATAATGGTATAGCCGGTATAGGTACATAGAATTCAAATCGTACACACCCATCACAGTGACTCAATATGCAACAGAAGAGGTATCCATTTGCCCGTCTTTTTTAATTATAATTTAAAAAAATATTATAGCACAGTCTTTATTAGTTTGTTTAGGTAATTGGGTATTGGTATAAAAAGGTATGTGTATATAATTTACTTACAAGTGGGTATGTGTATATGATTTATTTATAATTAGGAACCTATTGAAGTCAGAAATACCAAAATAAAAAATACATAATTTTAAAACCTTTAGATAGATTTTTGATGTATGATGATATTTTAATAAAAGAAAGTAGGTCTTTAAAAAATGTTTGTATCTACTTAGATGAATATGATAAATTGAATTGTGACAATTATAATATGCTAATAAAATATTTTATATTAATTTTATCAACTGAAGAATAATTAAAAATTCAATCAAAAGAGCATAAAAACTGTCAAATAAAAGTAATTAAGCTCACATTCATAATTGATTTTATCAAAAGTAACTCGTACATTAGAAGTACTTGCAGAGCATTTTTGGATACATAGGTATGGAATTAAATTGTAATTTATCTTACAAAAGGTCTAAAGATTATTCAGAAGCACAATTAATTGTACATAGAAAAATCGCAAAACGATTATTTGGTATGCAATCTGTAGGTATTACTAAGACCAATGGGAAACATAAAGTAGTAATTGTTTTCAAGCTATTTAAAAATTAACAATTTAATTCAGTTGCTTACACAATATTTTGTACATTTTTAATTTAAGAATTATTAGTTTTTTTTCTACTGGATTATAATCTCTGGAGTTCAAATATAGCTTCAACACTTACTGTCAGGCATGTAGCCAGGATTTTATCTTATTTTAATTTTTTTATATGATTATTATACAAAACCACTTATTTTTAATAATTATAATACAATATAATTATTTTCAACTATTATCGTTCATACTGCTGGCTATACATACAATATAACACTCTAATATTAATTTTGAGGTTTTATTTTTGGTCATTGTATCCAATACTTTATCTATAGAGATAACACCTTTCCCAACGTATTGTCAGAAGAGTAAGTCTTGTTTGAGTTAATTTCTAGTTTTATTATGATTAATGTTTTTATGTGTTTTAATGTTAAAAAAAGAATACTCTACTGCCATTGTAGAAATTAGTAGAGTAGCCAAAATTTTCAATAGAAAATTTATGTTAAGGCAAAATTTACATTACATGCATCCATCATTTAGTAGGTTTTTTCTACATTTACCCATTTTTTAAACCATAAAAAATATTTAATCACTATCTCAAATAAGATATATTTTTATTTAAACCATAGGTAATAGGATTTCAATAGACTACATAGCACAATTGTATTGTTTAAATGGTTATCTAGATTTTTAAAACAGTCAATTGATGGTAAAAATATAGATTCTTTTTTTCACAGTGCCTTGCTGTGAATATACAGAACTATAAAATACTCATTGATGACAAATTTTATTAGTTTAATGAAATTTAATACAATCTAAGTCTAACCACATCAATAAAATTAACTGTAGTAAGTTAATTATAAAGGATTAAGATTTTAAATGCTGGTACAGAAAAATTTCAGGGTGGGTCCAAACTCCAGACTCTATGGACCCATCCCTAATCACTTACTTGTCTACTTGTATTTACTTTTTATCCATATTTAAGTAATTTGATTTAGAAATAATTATGTTAAATGATATACTAAATATATTTACATTTCAATTTAAATGATCCTTAAATATAAAATAAAATTTTACAATTGCTTCATTCTTTAATAAACATACATATTACTTGTATAAATGCATCTACATTCATCACATAGAATGATGTAGTTTTTTTTTTTTTTTATTAACTGACTGAAATTTTAATTGCAGTCAAATTTAGCTAATATACTTAAAATTTTTATTTTTTAACTTTTAGCTTAAGTTTTAATCAATAAAAGAAATGTAATTCAAAAAATTTAATACATCTAAATTATTAAGTTTCAAATTAAAGCTAAAATTAGAAAAAGGAATAAGCCAAGAAAAATTTAAACATGTTTAACTCCTAAAATTAATAATAAATTATAGATCAATAACACAGTTATAACTTATCATTAATTTTATGATTTGAATAAATGGCTACAAATTATAATGGTATGATAAAATAAATAATATCAAAAATATTAATTTAACTATATATTAATACAAATGACAATGATGCTTGTTATTTTTAAGTTGTACAAAAAATATTTTATAAAATCAGCAATGTTTTGCGAACCATGATAAATAATTGTAATATAAATAGATAATTAATGCATATTATGTATTCTACATCTAAAAATGCTGAAGTCCAACTTTTATATATATTAAGTTTCTTACACAGCTACACAACTATTATCAATATAAGTAACTATTATCAATCGCGAGAAATACATAAATGCTTTTTTAAAAAAAAAGGTATCAAATTAAAATACACAATAAAGTACTAAACATTTTAAAATAATAATAATAATACAATATGAGAAATTAAATAAAATTTTGTAGTAAAACAGTTAAACTTATTTTTGTTTTAGTTTTGACAGTCCATTTACAACATCTAATGTAGAAGTTCGTTGTCTTAACACTACAATGGCATTATGCAGTTTTAGTGCTGGACCAAGAGGAATGTTTAATATATCCATCAAATCTTTTTGAGTTAACATCAAAAATACATCACCATCAATTTCCTGTATAAAAGAAAAAATTGAATAAAGGATAAATAATAAATATATATTATAAATAAAAATAAAATATTTATACCTGATTAATAAAAGATTTAGATATTTTGATTCGATCAGAGGGATCATCATCTGTGTAATTATTAGACACTACTATTTCGACAAAAGTAGCTACTTCTCTTACAGGCCATTTTCTCACATCAGTAGTATTAAATATTGGTACACCTTGTAGAACGCTATGCCTGGTCCATACATTAAGCCTTGGGCGTTTAAAAGAACCATAACCATAACTGGTATAATCATTGACACCTATGATTACATCTAATTCGTCCATTGCATCAACAGCTCTTTTATAAACACATTTAGATCGACCGTTAGGTACCTTCTTTTTAAAATTCATTTTTGATCTATACCAAACAAATTTTTTCAATGAAATAATTTTGAAATAGTTATTGGTAAGTATATTACCTGTTACTGAATTTTTTTGTAGGTTTCTTAAAATTACAGATTTTTATTTTATTTGACTTCAATTTTCCTTTTTTTTTATCTTCTTTTGGTGCAACAGTACTTACAGGTTCCAAAAAACTTAAAATATAATTAAATTTGTATCAAAAAATAAGTCATGCATATAAAATACCCCCCCCCCCCCAAATATATACAAATATAAATACAATTTTTTTTAATTACCTCGGAACTGAAGGTATTAGATAGTCCTCAGGTTTTATCCTATCAGGTTTAATTGCTAACCCAGAAATTAATTTTTTCCATGACTCAAATTCATATGGACAATCTTTAGCTAATACATGAGTATTTTTGGAATTATTTACATTGCCTTTACCATTACAACCAGGAACTCTACAAGTCCAAAGTATTGAGTTCGCTAAAAATAAATATAGATGTTAACAGTTACAAATAATAAAAAACCACATAATTATATGATATTTACAGATAAAAGTTAAAAATAGTAAGATTGGAGATTGTGCTATGTATAGAAGCGTATGTGTAAATGTTCACATTTAATATTGAACAAAAATGTAATTTTTTTAATTTCTTTCTATTTTAATGCCAACACATCATTTTATATTATAAATGTTACAACATAAATTTTTATTAAGTACATTACACTCAAACGATACATGGAAGTGTAATAGTTAATACATTCTATCTCATACTGTTGAAATTATATGCCAAAAAAAATTTCTAGTTGTTACTATTATTGTTAATGTTTCCAATCCATTGAAGGATTATAGATTTGGTGTGGTATAGAATGCATTTATGTAATAATTATTGATATTTTTAATTTTATGATCAATTAAAATCTTTTTTACATTTAGTGTTCTTTTTGAAGTATGTAATGTAATTACTCTAATTTCATGAATACATAAACAAAATGTAAGTAATAACACTTATAACAAATAAATATTAAATATTGTTTCTTCCAAGTTCTTTCAATACGAATATTCACTTCATGATTTATATCTTTATATCGTTATTTATCACACATGCTTACTATGTTTCAGACGAATAATTAAAAAAAATTATGGTTTCTGATTTTATAAGTATAGAAATGCAAGACACAAGAGAATATAATTAGGTGAAATTATTCCATCTCGATTGTATCTATTATATTTTCAATAAAAAATAAAATAAGTATACAATATATTTTGAGAAAAATAAGCTATACTTAAAGAGACAATTTTGATGTTTTTTTTTTAAAGTATTGAAATTACAGATAGCTTAATCTACAAAAATTAATTGGAATATATAAATTTTTACCTTTAAATAGCTCAATTGGATGATTGGTCTTTAAACACCATCCAAGGGGATGTATATTTGGATTGTCATCTTCAATCCAGTATGCATATATGGTATCGAATCCATCATAAAGTATTTTAAGTTCATCTCCTTTAACATCTACTACTTTAGCAATTCTAATTAATGAAGGATTAGCAATATCAACTACTTCAATAGCCATGCTATTAGTAAATTCTCGTAATGGTCTGCGAAAAAATGCATCTTCTGGTACAGGCTCACTATTGGTTTCTTTTAAGTAATTAGCCCAAGAAAAAGGTTTTTTTCCTTTGCAATCTAAATAAATTACAGTATTAATTTAATTTAAATTTATCAGAGTAAAAATATAATTGTAATATATTTACTATCATAACCACTAGGTGGACATAAAGAACGTCCATTCTTATCACACCATCCAACTGGATGTATATTAGTTGATGTGATATCTGTCCAGTAATCAAAATCATCTGCCCAACCATCAAAATGAATACGTATACGATTCCCCAAAATATCAGCAACAGTAGCAACACATATAAGCGGCTTTGATGTTGTGCGGGTTAATTTATCTAATGCTTCTAGTTTCGCTCGAATACGAAATGAATGATTAGTGATACGATTCTAGGTACAACACATTCATACATATATTTTTAGAAATTAATGAAACATTGTTCTTATAAAAAAGAAATCAAGTATGTATAATAATAATACAAAAATTTAGTTAAATACGCAACTTACAGTATTTAAGGCATTAGGAAAATTCCATTTTGGAGCAGGCATAACACCTGGTATTTTAAGGTAATCAGTCCACTTAAATGGTTGATTATAATTCTTTGGTGGTTGTAAAGTGCGAGAGTTTTGTTCACACCATCTAGGAAAAAACAAATCCGGGCAATCTGCATTTACCCAAAAATTATATATATCTGAATAGCCATCAAAATTTAACTTAATGCGATATCCTGGTGAAAATTAAAATCAAATTAATTAAATTTTAAAGTTAAAATAAAAATAAATAATAATTACCACAAACTTCCACTACAGTCATTACACAAAATAATGCTTCATGTTCTGGATCAATACCTTCTAATCTTTGTCCAATTTTAAAAGGGTTAGAATCATGTGGAAAGGGATTATCAAACAATTTTCTTGGAGCAGGTATATAATCAGTATGTTGCAAATAGCTAAATATTTTTGCAGTTTCTTGTTTACACTAAAAAAATACAAGAAAGCTTTTACTACTTATTAAAAAAATAAATTATAAATAAATAATTTTACATTTTGAACAACTGCTGAAGCTTCATTTAGGTTAAAAAATTTTCTTTTATATGGTAAAGAATGGTTTACAGTTATTGGTATTGCAGGTGGTGGCATTTTTAAAGCCATCTTATTAAGTTGTTCAACTTGATCCAAATCATGACCAGACACATTTTCTTTTTGAAAAGATGGTAAGCTTTGCTTTCTTTTATTAATTCTACTTCTCAATTTTGCTAAAAGCATTTTTCGATCAATCACAGGTTTTTTTGATAAATCTGTATTTTCTTGTGGTTGTGCAGCAGCAATAGGTTTTGGCTTTTGTGTAGCTATCATTAGTTTAGTATTTAAACTTTTACACACTAAACTACAATACTTATAATCTATCATTTCAGGTTTGTATGCTATTGTATCACAATATTCATATTCACATTGATTAAATGGACCACTCACACCTGCTAAAAAATTAAGTTTTAAATAAATATTTTAAATAATAACAAGATATAATAGTATGTTATATTAAATATTAATAAATTATAAATATTGTTATACTTTGTGAAATTTTTGGCATAATCATTTTAACGGGAACTGATTTTGTCATTCTTGAGGTTTTAGCATGAGTATTTGACTTTGAACTTCTCTTCCATGGTTCCAAGAATGATACATGAGGATAAATCATATTTTTTTCATTAGTTGCTGTATTAATTTTTTGATACTGAAAAATAACAACCTTTGATTATGTACTATTTTATTAAAAACATTTAATATACCATACTTGTGGCACATGAACTTTATTAGGAATTATTTTCAACATTTTATCAGTAGGAACTTTAGCAATAGTACTATTTGAATTACTATTATTGTTTTTTAAAAATTGTACTAATACATGTTTACCATCTCCATGAACATTAGCATTCAATTTTGTTTTTGATTGATTAATAGAATTAAAATGTACTAATCTTACAGTGTTTGGTTCTTTAGTAGTAAAATTACCTGTAATAAAACAAAAAAAGTTTATAAATGAGTTTGTATAATAATAATATAATTTATACTAACCATATTTTGTAGATTGACCATATGTTTTGATTAGAGATTCAGGTTTTGATGATAGTTGAATAAACCCAGGCACAGGGCACAAATTTTTTTTAACATTGGTATTTATTTTAGTTTTATCATTTATAATAACCATATTTGTATGATTTTTTATTACATCTTTACTGGTAATAGTATGGGGTATATGCTTTATCGGTCTACTTAAATTACCAAAATCAGTTAAATTTTTATTTTTGTTTAATGATAGTTCTTTTTCATGCTGATTATGTTCAGACTCTGTAGTACTTAAGTCAATCTTAATTATTTTAGAACTAGATGAATCTGTATGAGGTTTAAGTTTTCTTTTTTGTTTTCTAATAAATGAATTTGTAGAACTCTGTTGTATAGGTTGAAATTTAACGTTTGATTTAAATAAATTAATGAATTTTTTGAAAACAATGTTTTTTTCAATCGGTAAAGCTTTGAATTTTTGATTTTGAAATGCTTTGAAGCTAACAACAAATTTTGATTTAATATTTTTAATTTTTGGTTTTTCAACAGTATTAAACTTTTCAGCGACTGTAACTGGTATTATAGAATTTGATGGTTTTGACATTGGTGAAGTAGAAATATAAGATGGAAAATTTGTAACTTTTCTATTATCTATATTTGTTAATACATATTTACCTTTATTTTGTGGAAATAGAACCATTTTTGACTTGAGATCATTTGAAGATATTATTTTGAACCCGGGTTTTGATGTTGAAACACATTTATTATTTGTAATATTAACAGGATTTAACTTTGGTTGCAATCTTGTAATAATTGGTTTTTTTGGATTGATGTGTGTAGTTGAAGGTATGGAGATTGTTGATGGCTTTTTAATTTGGCTAGACATAAATGAAGGTAGCGTTTTCACATTAGACATAACTGTTTTTGGAACAGCAATTTTTTCTAAATTTAAAGAAAAATTGTTTGGTTTTACAAATATTTTATTTGGAATTTTTTTGGGTGTATTAATAACAAAAGAAGTTTTAATAACTTTCTCATATGGAATCAGTTTAGATTTTTCATAATTACTAAAATTATCAAGAATTCTTAAATTTACAGGTGTTTTTTGTTCATATACTTTAGTTGAAGTAGATTTATTTAATTTAGCAACTTCTATATTACGTTTTTTATTATTAATTTTCACTAAATTACTCAATTCCATATGAGATTTACGAAAATTTATATCCTTTACATTTATAGTAGGTGATTTAATAACAGATGCAGTAGGAATCGTGTGCTTTATTGGCACTTGTTGATTAAATGTTTCAACAACATTTTTATCACCAACTTTAAAATGTTCGGTTTTTTTTCGTTCTTGTACTTTGGTTGAAGTAGATTCATTTAATTTGATAATTTCTTTATCAGTCCTACTATTGCTGTTATCCAATGAACTACTAATTTTGTGAAGATTGTTTTCATTTATAACAGAAGTAGTTTCCATAATTTGATTTACTGGCCTCTGTCGTTTAGATATTTCAACATCATGTTTATCTCTAATTTTAACATTTCCAGTGTCTTGAGCTTGAAGTTTAGTAGAAATAGATTCATTAAATTTGGTAACTTTTGTACCACTTGTATTATTACTGATATCCGATGAACTTTTTATGTAGTGAGGATGTTTATTGATTTTAATTAGTTTAGGCACATTAACTACAGAGGTAGTTGCTATCATTTGCTTTACTGGCACCTGTTGTTCA